ACCGACACCAGGAATCGTAGTGTATGCTACTGTTGTTTCAACCGAAGGAACTTCGGTTGCCGGACCAGGTGGAGTTGTGATCCTGGCATCTCCTGCTGGTGTTGTTGCGGCTCCTGGTGGTGTTGTAGTGCCTGCAGTGGTAATACCGACACCAGGAATCGTGGTGTATCCTACTGTGGTTTCAGCCGAAGGAACTGCGGTGGCCGGACCAGGTGTAGTTGTGATTCTGGTCTCACCCGAGGGTGTTGTTGCGGCTCCTGGTGGTGTTGCAATTCCTTCAGTGGTAATACTGACACCAGGAATCGTAGTGTATCCTACTGTGGTTTCAGCCGAAGGAGCTCCGGTGTCCGGACCAGGTGTAGATGTGATCCTGGCATCTCCTGCTGGTGTTGTTGCGGCTCCTGGTGGTGTTGCAGTTCCTTCAGTGGTAACACCGACACCAGGAATCGTAGTGTATGCTACTGTTGTTTCAACCGAAGGAACTTCGGTTGCCGGACCAGGTGGAGTTGTGATCCTGGCATCTCCTGCTGGTGTTGTTGCGGCTCCTGGTGGTGTTTTAGTTCCTTCAGTGGTAATACCAACACCAGGAACGGTAGTGTATCCTACTGTAGTTTCAGATGAAGGAACTCCGGTGGCTGGACCAGGTGTAGTTGTGATTCTGGCCTGAACCGAAGGTGTTGTCGCAGTTCCTGGTGATATTGTGATTATGGCCTCACCCGAAGGTGTTGTCGCAGATACTGGTAGTGTTGTAGCGCCCTTAGTGGTCATTCTGACACCAGGGATCGTAAGGTATCCTACTGTTGTTTCAACTGAAGGAACTTCAGTGGTCGGACCAGGTGTAGTTGTGATTCTGGCCTCAACTGAAGGTGTTGTTGCGGCTCCTGATGGTGTTGTGGCTCCTTCAGTGGTAGTTCGGACACCAGGAATCGTAGTGTATCCTATTGTTGTTTCAACCGAAGGAACGTCGGTGGCCGGACCAGGTGTAGTTGTGATTCTGGCCTCAACTGAAGGTGTTGTTGCGGCTCCTGATGGTGTTGTGGCTCCTTCAGTGGTAGTTCGGACACCAGGAATCGTAGTGTATCCTATTGTTGTTTCAACCAAAGGAACGTCGGTGGCCGGACCAGGTGTAGTTGTGATTCTGGTCTCACCCGAGGGTATTGTTTCGGCTCCTGGTGGTGTTGCAGTTCCTTCAGTGGTAATACCGACACCAGGAATCGTAGTGTATCCTATTGTTGTTTCAACCGAAGGAACGTCGGTGGCCGGACCAGGTGTAGTTGTGATTCTGGTCTCACCCGAGGGTATTGTTTCGGCTCCTGGTGGTGTTGCAGTTCCTTCAGTGGTAATACCGACACCAGGAATCGTAGTGCTTCCTACTGTTGTTTCAGTCGAATGAGTTCCGGCGGCCGCAGCAGGTGTAGTTGTGATTATGGCCTCACCCGAAGGTGTTGTCGCAGCTACTGGTGGTGTTGTGGCGCCTTCAGTGGTAGATCGGATACCAGGAATCGTAGTGTATCCTACTGTTGTTTGAACCGAAGGAACTTCGGTGGCCGGACCAGGTATAGTTGTGATCCTGGTATCTCCTGCTGGTGTTGTTACGGCTCCTGGTGGTGTTGTAGTTCCTTCAGTGGTAATACCGACACCAGGAATCGTAGTGTATCCTACTGTTGTTTTAGCCGAAGGAACTCCGGTGGCCGGACCAGGTACAGTTGTGATTTTAGCCTCACCCGAAGGTGTTGTCGCAGTTCCTGGTGATGTTGTGGCGCCTTCTGTAGTCATTCTGATACTTGTAATCGTAGTGTAGCCTACCGTTGTTTCAGCCGAAGGAACTTCGGTGGCCGGACCAGGTGAAGTTGTGATTCTGGTCTCACCTGAGGGTATTGTTGCGGCTCCTGGTGGTGTTGCAGTTCCTTCAGTGGTAATACCGACACCAGGAATCGTAGTGTATCCTACTGTTGTTTCAACCGAAGGAACTTCGGTGGCCGGACCAGGTGGAGTTGTGATCCTGGCATCTCCTGCTGGTGTTATTGCGGCTCCTGGTGGTGTTGTAGTGCCTTCAGTGGTAATACCGACACCAGGGATCGTAGTGTATCCTACTGTTGTTTCAACCGAAGGAACTTCGTTGGCCGGACCAGGTGTAGTTATGATTCTGGTCTCACCCGAGGGTGTTGTTGCGGCTCCTGGTGGTGTTGCAGTTCCTTCAGTGGTAATACCGACACCAGGAATCGTAGTGTATCCTACTGTGGTTTCAGCCGAAGGAGCTCCGGTGCCCGGACCAGGTGTAGTTGTGATCCTAGCATCACCTGCTGGTGTTGTGCTTCCTTCAGTGGTAATACCAACACCAGGAACGGTAGTGTATCCTACTGTAGGTTCAGATGAAGGAACTCCGGTGGCTGGACCAGGTGGTGTTGTGATTCTGGCCTGAACCGAAGGTGTTGTCGCAGTTCCTGGTGATATTGTGATTATGGCCTCACCCGAAGGTGTTGTCGCAGATACTGGTGGTGTTGTAGCGCCCTTAGTGGTCATTCTGACACCAGGGATCGTAATGTATCCTACTGTTGTTTCAGCTGAAGGAACTTCAGTGGTCGGACCAGGTGTAGTTGTGATTCTGGCCTCAACTAAAGGTGTTGTTGCGGCTCCTGATGGTGTTGTAGCTCCTTCAGTGGTGATTCTGACACCAGGAATCGTAGTGTATCCTACCGTTGATTCAACGCGAGGAATTTCGGTGGTTGGACCAGGTGTAGTTGTGATTCTGGCCTCAACTAAAGGTGTTGTTGCGGCTCCTGATGGTGTTGTAGCTCCTTCAGTGGTGATTCTGACACCAGGAATCGTAGTGTATCCTACCGTTGATTCAACGCGAGGAATTTCGGTGGTTGGACCAGGTGCAGTTGTGATTCTGGCCTCAACTGAAGGTGTTGTTGCGGCTCCTGTTGGTGTTGTGGCTGCTTCAGTGGTGATTCTGTCACCAGGGATCGTGGTGTATCCTACTGTTGTTTCAATCGAAGGAACTTCGGTGGTCGGACCAGGTATAGTTGTGATTCTGGCCTCAACTGAAGGTGTTGTGGCTCCTTCAGTGGTAGTTCGGACACCAGGAATCGTGGTGTATCCTACTGTTGTTTCAACCGAAGGAACGTCAGTGGCATCTCCTGCTGGTGTTGTTGCGGCTCCTGGTGGTGCTGTAGTGCCTTCAGTGGTAATACCGACACCAGGAATCGTAGTGTATCCTATTGTTGTTTCAACCGAAGGAACGTCGGTGACCGGACCAGGTGTAGTTGTGATTCTGGTCTCACTCGAGGGTGTTGTTGGGGCTCCTGGTGGTGTTGCAGTTCGTTCAGTGGTAACACCGACACCAGGAATCGTAGTGTATCCTACTGTGGTTTCAGCCGAAGGAGCTCCGGTGCTCGGACCAGGTGTAGTTGTGATTATGGCCTCACCCGAAGTTGTTGTCGCAGCTACTGGTGGTGTTGTGGCGCTTTCACTGGTAGTTCTTACACCAGGAATCGTAGTGTATCCTACTGTTGTTTCAGCCGACGGAAACTCGGTGGCCGGACCAGGTGTAGTTGTGATTCTGGTCTCACCTGAAGGTGTTGTTGCAGCTACTGGTGGTGCTCTGGTGAATTCAGTAGTTATTCTGACACCAGGAATCTTAGTGTATCCTACTGTTGTTTCAACCGAAGGAAACTCGGTGGCCGGAGCAGGTGTAGTTGTGATTATGGCCTCACCCGAAGGTTTGGTGGCAGCTACTGGTGATGTTGTAGTGCCTTCAGTGGTCGTTCTGACACCAGGAATCGTAGCGTATCCTACTGTTGTTTCAGCCGATGGAACTCCGGTGTCCGGACCAGGTGTTGTTGTAGTTCTGTCCTCACCCGAAGATGTTGTCTCAGCGCCTGGTGATGTTGTAGCGCCTTCAGTGGTCGTTTTGGCACCAGGAAGCGCAGTGTATCCTACAGTTGTTTCAACTGGAGGAACTTCGGTGGTCGGGCCAGGTACAGTTGTGATTCTGGCTTCACCTGAAGGTGTTGTCGCAGCACCTGGTGGTGTTGTGGCGCCTTCAGTGGTAGATCGGATACCAGGAATCGTAGTGTATCCTACTGTTGTTTGAACCGAAGGAACTTCGGTGGCCGGACCAGGTGTAGTTGTGATTATGGCCTCACCGGAAGGTGTTGTCGCAGATACTGGTGGTGTTGTGGCGCCTTCAGTGGTAGATCGGATACCAGGAATCGTAGTGTATCCTACTGTTGTTTGAACCGAAGGAACTTCGGTGGCCGGACCAGGTATAGTTGTGATCCTGGTATCTCCTGCTGGTGTTGTTACGGCTCCTGGTGGTGTTGTAGTTCCTTCAGTGGTAATACCGACACCAGGAATCGTAGTGTATCCTACTGTTGTTTTAGCCGAAGGAACTCCGGTGGCCGGACCAGGTACAGTTGTGATTTTAGCCTCACCCGAAGGTGTTGTCGCAGTTCCTGGTGATGTTGTGGCGCCTTCTGTAGTCATTCTGATACTTGTAATCGTAGTGTAGCCTACCGTTGTTTCAGCCGAAGGAACTTCGGTGGCCGGACCAGGTGAAGTTGTGATTCTGGTCTCACCTGAGGGTATTGTTGCGGCTCCTGGTGGTGTTCCAGTTCCTTCAGTGGTAATACCGACACCAGGAATCGTAGTGTATCCTACTGTTGTTTCAACCGAAGGAACTTCGGTGGCCGGACCAGGTGTGTTTGTGATTTTGGTCTCACCCGAAGGTGTTGACGCAGATACTGGTGGTGTTGTAGCGCCTTCAGTGGTCATTCTGACACCAGGGATCGTAATGTATCCTACTGTTGTGTCAACTCGAGGAATTTCGGTGGTTGGACCAGGTGTGTTTGTGATTTTGGTCTCACCCGAAGGTGTTGATGCAGATACTGGTGGTGTTGTAGCGCCCTCAGTGGTCATTCTGACACCAGGGATCGTAATGTATCCTACTGTTGTGTCAACTCGAGGAATTTCGGTGGTTGGACCAGGTGTAGTTGTGATTTTGGTCTCAACCGGAGGTGTGGTTGCGGCTCCTGATGGTGTTGTAGCTCCTTCAGTGGTGATTCTGACACCAGGAATCGTAGTGTATCCTACTGTTGTTTCAACTGGAGGAACTTCGGTGGTCGGGCCAGGTACAGTTGTGATTCTGGCTTCACCTGAAGGTGTTGTCGCAGCACCTGGTGGTGTTGTGGCGCTTTCAGTGGTTATTCTGACACCAGGAACCGTAATGTATCCTACCGTTGTTTCAGCCGAAGGAACTTCGGTGGCCGGACCAGGTGTAGTTGTGATTGTGGCCTCACCCGAAGGTGTTGTCGCAGATACTGGTGGTGTTGTAGCGCCCTCAGTGGTCATTCTGACACCAGGAATCGTAGTGTATCCTACTGTTGTTTCAACCAAAGGAAACTCGGTGGCCGGACCAGGTGTATTTGTGATTATGGCCTCACCCGAAGGTGTTGTCGCAGATACTGGTGGTGTTGTAGCGCCCTCAGTGGTCATTCTGACACCAGGAATCGTAGTGTATCCTACTGTTGTTTCAACCAAAGGAAACTCGGTGGCCGGACCAGGTGTATTTGTGATTATGGCCTCACCCGAAGGTGTTGTCGCAGATACTGGTGGTGTTGTAGCGCCCTTAGTGGTCATTATGATACCAGGGATCGTAATGTATCCTACTGTTGTTTCAACTGAAGGAACTTCAGTGGTCGGGCCAGATGTAGTTGTGATTCTGGCCTCAGCTAAAGGTGTTGTTGCGGCTCCTGATGGTATTGTTGTTCCTTCAGTGGTAATACCGACACGAGAAATCATAGTGTATCCTACTGTTGTTTCAATCGAAGGAACTTCGGTGGTCGGACCAGGTGTATTTGTGATTTTGGCCTCACCCGAAGGTGTTGTCGCAGATACTGGTGGTGTTGTAGCGCCCTCAGTGGTCATTCTGACACCAGGGATCATAATGTATCCTACTGTTGTGTCAACTCGAGGAATTTCGGTGGTTGGACCAGGTGTAGTTGTGATTCTGGCCTCAACTGAAGGTGTTGTTGCGGCTCCTGATGGTATTGTTGTTCCTTCAGTGGTAATACCGACACGAGGAATCATAGTGTATCCTACTGTTGTTTCAACTGAAGGAACTTCGGTGGCCGGACCAGGTGTGTTTGTGATTTTGGTCTCACCCGAAGGTGTTGATGCAGATACTGGTGGTGTTGTAGCGCCCTCAGTGGTCATTCTGACACCAGGGATCGTAATGTATCCTACTGTTGTGTCAACTCGAGGAATTTCGGTGGTTGGACCAGGTGTAGTTGTGATTCTGGCCTCAACTGAAGGTGTTGTTGCGGCTCCTGATGGTATTGTTGTTCCTTCAGTGGTAATACCGACACGAGGAATCATAGTGTATCCTACTGTTGTTTCAACTGAAGGAACTTCGGTGGCCGGACCAGGTGTGTTTGTGATTTTGGTCTCACCCGAAGGTGTTGATGCAGATACTGGTGGTGTTGTAGCGCCCTCAGGGGTCATTCTGACACCAGGGATCATAATGTATCCTACTGTTGTTTCAACTGAAGGAACTTCGGTGGCCGGACCAGGTGTAGTGATTCTGGCCTCAACTGAAGGTGTTGTTGCGGCTCCTGATGGTGTTGTAGCTCCTTCGGTGGTGATTCTGACACCAGGAATCGTAGTGTATCCTACTGTTTTTTCAACCAAAGGAAACTCGGTGGTCGGACCAGGTGTAGTGATTCTGGCCTTTACTGAAGGTGTTGTTGCGGCTCCTGATGGTGTTGTCGCTCCTTCAGTGGTGATTCTGACACCAGGAATCGTAGTGTATCCTACTGTTGTTTCAACCAAAGGAAACTCGGTGGCTGGACCAGGTGTAGTTGTGGTTCTGGCCTCAACTGAAGGTGTTGTTGCGGCTCCTGATGGTGTTGTAGCTCCTTCAGTGGGGATTCTGACACCAGGAATCGTAGTGTATCCTACTGTTGTTTCAACCAAAGGAAACTCGGTGGCTGGACCAGGTGTAGTTGTGATTCTGGCCTCAACTGAAGGTGTTGTTGCGGCTCCTGTTGGTGTTGTGGCTCCTTCAGTGGTGATTCTGTCACCAGGGATCGTGGTGTATCGTACTGTTGTTTCAACCGAAGGAACTTCGGTGGCCGGTCCAGGTGTAGTTGTGATTCTGGCTTCAAATGAAAGCGGTGTGGCAACTTCTGGTGGTGTTGTGGCGCCTTCAGTAGTAATTCTGACACCAGGAACCGTAGTGTGTCCTACTGTAGTCTCAACCGAAGGAGCTTCTGTTGCCGGGCCAGGCGTAGTTGTAATTCTGGCGTCAGCTGAATGTGTTGTTGCGGCTCCTGTTGGTGTTGTGGCTCCTTCAGTGGAGATTCTGACATCAGGAATTGTGGTATATCCTACTGTAGTCTCAACCGAAGGAGCTTCGGTGGCCGGACCAGGCGTAGTTGAGATTCCATCTTCGCCTGAAGGGGTTGTTGCGGCTCCTAGCGGTGTTGTGGCGCCTTCAGTGGTGATTCTGACACCAGATATCGTAGTGTGTCCAACTGTAGTCTCAACCGAAGGAGCTTCGGTGGCCGGAGTAGGCGTAGCTGTGATTCCGGCTTCAGCTGAAGGTGTTGTGGCGCCTTCAGTGGTGATTCTGACACCAGGAATCGTAGTGTATCCTACTGTTGTTTCTGGTCTGAGCGTAGTTTTTCGGAACTCTGTCGCCTTTGTCGTACTATCGTATGACTCTGTCTCCGTTTCGGCAACTATATCAGTATAGCGTGTACGCATTTCTGTTTGGTTCGTCAAATACATTGTAGTGTATTTCATAGTCGTAGCAGTCGTGTCTGTACGGTCCAGGGGTATAAGTTGTGTCGTATTTTCTACGGTCGATGATGGAATATCAAATAGTATGGGAATACATTTGACGGTAGTAGTATTACCACTAAAACTATCAGCGCAAATACATGTTGCCACGCGATGTGCTTTCACAATACATAGTGCAGACTCCGCACAAACGATTGTACAGGGATCAACGCATTGCCGGAGCGCACTACACTGTAACGTTTCATCGCAGTCCGCATCTTGTGTACAGTTGGCACCCGCCGCTGACGGAGTTGGAGGTAGAATAGTTGGTGTTATAGCTGCGCGCGTGTGTGTTGAGAGTTTGTGTTTTTACATTTTTTACATTTTGTTTCAATAGAGCAGATTTTGATTTTTTTTTATAATTTTGTGGCGTAGTGTAAAATTTTTTACATGTTGATAAGATAAAAAATATGTTAGATATAAGGTAAAATATATACAATTGTAAGTAAATTGTGTTGATTAGGGAAGGGATTGGGTTTTAGGGAGGGGGTAAATATACATACAATATTTACATGGTACTAGTGGCTAGGTAGATACAATTTGACTAGAACTGAGGAACATTCTTTTAGACCTGGGAGTAGAGGCACACCAAGGGGTAGTTAAGGTTAAAAAAAAACCTTAAAGAAATATATATAGTTGCTTACTTGTTTGAGGTAGTGAGTTTTAAATTTTAGGTTTTAATGTTTAATATTTGTAGAATTTACAGTTACTTTTTACTTTTATTTATTTATTACAAATTAGTTAGCTACACTGGTTATCCGTTAGTAATAGTATGTTATAATACCAGACATTTTAGGATAAATATTTATTTTATCGCTTGATTAAACTGGAGATTAACTTTTGATTAATTTGCTGTTGATTACATTGATTAATTAATTCTCTTTTGATTGATTAACTTGTGGCATGAGCGTGTGTGAATGTGTAGAGGATTTTATTGTTTGTTAGCTTGGAATTTCGAAAAGTTTAACAAAATCAAGTCTTCAAAACAATAAGCTTGAAATCGATTTTATTAAAAAATGGTGCTGAAAAAGCAATGGATTTAGGTTTTTCGTTAAACCGAAACTGCGGTGGGCCTTATTAATATTTGAGGCGTTGTTGTTTTTGGTTAAAAATTATACATTTCTTATATAAATGAAATCGAGGAGCTCGCGCTCTGCTCTTCTCTTTATTGTTACATAATCCCTGAGCCACACATGAATACCATTGCGCAATTAGTTTAGCTGCCTGAAGCGAAGAAATTTTAGTTGGCGCGCGCCCTCGCACAACACTCGCCCACAGAGCGCTGCGCGCTTACGAGTAGCACAAATTGAGCGTGCGAGCGTGTTAGTGCGCGCGTCATGTGTGGCAATATTAGCGAGCGTGAAAAAAATTGGAGGAGAGTTGGATAGAGCGTGTGACAGACAGAGACAGATAGAGGTTTTGCGTTTTTTTGTTGCTTTTTTTTGCTTTGGTAGTAGTTTACATTTTTCACACTTATACAACTCTAGACGTATGCTTTACCTTTTTGACATCCATTCTTGGCATCGGCTATAAATCCAGGCGGGCAGAATTTACAAATCGGCTTATGATCCTCGACGATGCATGGCGAATTGGGCGCACACGTTGCAAAATCGCACGGATTTACGCACTGATATGAGCGGCATGCCAGTCCCGACGGACAGCCCGCGTCACGCAGACAAATCGATATTGACGGCTGGCAATCCTTCATACATATGCAGACCGGCTTGTGATCTTGCACTTCACATGATTTATTTTCAGCGCAGATAGGCTGTCTACCTACCGGCACTACGCACGGACTACGACATTTACCCTCACTACAAGCCATATTCGAGGCACAATCATCATCGCGATAGCATTCACGCTTCTCAGGCGCACATGTCAGTTCACCATATTCGTTAACAATAAAGCCAGACTTGCAGACGCATACCGGTTGATGGCGTCTCGTTTCACATTTCTTGCTGCCACCACAAATAAAGAGCGGATTCTGGCAAGGATCGGCGCATTGGCCATAGTGACTACATTGTAGCGTGTCGGGACAATCGCTATCCTGCGTGCAGGGTATTTGCTGCTGTGGATCACGTGGTTGCAGCGCCGTGACATCTGTGCACTTGGGATCAGGCTTACATTCCACTTCGGGACGTCCAATATAGCAACTGGGGCAGGAACAACGCGGTCGATGTAGTACGCTTTTGCAAAGCGCGTTAGCGCCACAAACGCCACGCACCGAACAAGGATCAACACAGTGTCCTTGCAGGCATGATTTCTCACTGGGACATTCGACGTCTGATGTGCATTGTTCGGTGTCTAAAATGGAATTTGAATTGGCCGAAGAAGAGAGAGAGAGAGAGTGATTGAGTGAGTGAGAGTGAGAGAGTGATATAGCGAGACGACGCGTTTTTGTTGGTAGTCGGTTGGTGCGTTGGTTTTAAATAAATATTTAATCGCTTGCACGGTTCGATATAATTGAGGATTGTACTAATAGATATTTGACACGTCATACATACATATAATGCACAATAATAGTGAGTGAGATATAGAGAGAAAAAGAGGAGACAGACGAAGAAACGTATGCGTGACTTGTAAGAGCACACCTGTCTAAGCACATGGAGAAACATTGAAATAATTTCGGTGGTACTTAGACATAAGAGTGCATGTGCATAGAAAAAAAGAGCGAAATTTCAGTGAGACACAACTAGTGTATTGTTGTAAGTGAAACATATATATAGTACATGCACATTTAGAGGGCGACAGAGGAAGAGTGTTTTCACTTGCTTTTGTTGCTTTTACAGCACGTACAGTCAAGAGCCAAATCGAGCAGAAAAGAAAAGAGTCAGTGAGTGGTTGAGTGAATGAGTGAACAGCTTTGAGTTCATTGCTCACTCGAAGTAAACGTAAAAATTTCGAGAGCGCAATAGAAGAAAAAAAAAACGAAGTGGAAACATCGCTTAAGGGTAGAAGGAATATTTTTTGTGCATAAAAATAAAGGAACTTAATGTATAAACTTAAATTAGCCCTAAGCTAAGATTTTAAAAAGGGATTCAGAAGAGTGTTTGGGGTGGGTAGTGTCGCGTAAAGTATTTGACTCTTATTTGACTGAGTATTTGTTTGTAGTTCTATGAGTTTTTTAGTGACACTAAAAATTTCAAATTTGTCAGTGAGTGGGGTTTTGTGGGTGTGGTGTCGCTTTTGTTGGTACTGTGTGGGAGGGGGCTCTTGTGCGGATTGATTGTGATTGGTGGATGGTGGATGGTGTGCGGTAGTGGATTTACTTGCGGAGAAGGGAGAGAGGTTCCTCTAACAAGAAAATCAAATAAGGCTGTGTTTTAAGTAATAGTATTTACTTTATTTAAAAAAGTTAACGAAAAGTGTTAGAAATCGAAACGAAATAAAAATAGCGTTTAACGATTAATTAAAATTCAAAAATAAAAACTATATTCATATAATTAAAATTAAATTTTTTTAAACACTAAACTTTTGTATAGGTTGAAAAATTATTGGAAAAGTACTGTTATTTACGGTAGGGGGAGAGAGTTATAATTTTACAATATATTTTTTATTGCTGTTGTAGCACAAATTTTGTGGGTGTAAATTTAGCAAAAGTGCTAAGTAATAAATTTTTGATTTTTTTTGATTTTTGTTTTGAAAAAATCAGTGTTGTGTTTGAAAATACAGTTAAAATGAGTGGAGAACTGTGAAGGGGAATCATCTCACATTTTCAAAAACTCAGCAAAAGCGTTGTTTTAGTCGTAGTAGTAGTCAGTATGTGACTTTTGTTGTTGTTGTTGTGTTTTGTTTATTTAGTTAGCTATTGGATTTTCAAGCGAGTTATTTATGTTCATACATTTGTTTTGAGTGAATGATGTGTGCATTTTTTACAATAGATAATATATGTTTTTTATTTTTATTTTGCCCAATGCGCGTGGTGAATGAAATTGAAATTTTTTTTTTAAGTATAAAAAAATGGCGCATATTTTTTACAAATGACAGTATCAAGTAGAAAAGGGAGCCAAATGAGGATGAGCTCTCGTTTCTAGTGACATATTGTTGGTTGAAGTGTTGAAAATTTTGAAAAAAAATATTTGAAAAATTTTTCAAAAAGTTTTAAAAACTATTTAGCAATTTTGGCACGCAATTTTTTACCTTATTGGGAGCGTCGTCTACTTTGGACGCCATTTGTCTTTTGTAATATAAATTTTTGTTTATTTGGATATTTTTTTCTTTTGAAAACATCAGCAAGTTGAAAATAAAAATGGCATTTTTGATAACACGTCTTGAGCGTCTTGCTTTTTAGAACTTTTTAAGGCATTAAAAATCAGTTTGAGCCGAAATGTAATTTTCAATGAAAGCAAAGTTGCCGTGCCGAAAAACAATTTATTTAAGCTTGAAAGCTATAGACTGATTTGGAACGGTTTTGAGAGGTTTTTTTTTAATGTTGAATATTTTTCGAAAAACTCACAGAATTGAAGCCATAAAATCTGCCCTTCGATAAAACTTTTTCGAAAGTTACGCTTTTTTTTGCAGTTTTTTAAGTTTTAAAAAGCAGCCCGAGCATAAATTAATTTCCAATGAAAGATGGGTTGCCATGTGTGAAAAAAATTAGTTGTATATTTACGAGCTGAAGTAAAATGGAGTATAGCTCTGAAAAATTAACTGCCATTTTTTGACATCTCTAAGGGTAAATTGTTCAAAAATTACTCTTTAAGTTTGTGCGAATATGAGAGTTCAACCTAAAACATACAATGTGGCATGCTTTGATCTTGTGGTGCGTTAGAAAATGCAGTTAAGTGAAATATAATATCTGGAGAGCGTGATTTCTAAATTTTTTTGATAACGAGCTGTCAAAAACTCTCCAAAATTGGCACATTTTATACTGTTAAAATTGACTTTTGAATGAAAATATACTGTCAAAGCTCTTCAAAACTGACTATTGACTGTCAAAGAGCCTTCGGAAACTGACACTTTATCAATTGAAACTGTCTAAACTGATACTGCATCGCCTTTTCGTTGGAATATACGCCATTTTTTTCACAAAAAATAAATTATTTCTTTTGTTCACATAAAAAAAAAAAGATTGTTTGCCCTCTGAGTAGCTGTTAAGCTTTTCGTCATTGAAATCAATATTAAAATATTTGAATTTATTTGGATATTTTGACAAAAATTCGTACGACATCCAACACATGCGCTCTGCCCTAAAGCGTACCTTGTTTTTGGGTACTTTTATGAAATGTTTATACGTGTATGTATGTAAGGTTTTCAAAAGCAAAATGCATTTTAAGTTAAAAAAATTTAAAACTAAAAAAAAAACCAATATGTATGTCAAACAGGAAAATTATGAAAGGAAAATTTCGTTTATACAAATTTTTACAAAATTTCAATTTACAATTTGAAAACAAAAAAAAACTGAACTAATCATACCAAAACTAATTTATACAAATTTGAAAAGCACTTTTTCTAATTTTTCAAATTATAATTTTTTTTACAAATAATTTATACATTCTTTTTTACAATTGCGTGTCTGTATTTGTACAACACAGCCTCTGGTATAAATATTTATGTACAAGTGTTAGTATATAGCGCACTGCCAAAGAAATACAGTTTTGTTTTTGTTTTAGATAAATATATTTACAACTTACTGACTAATGCAAAATACCAAATATATAGTTGGGGTTAGTGAATTTAGTTACAGCTAGCTAGCTGGCTGGCGTCTCCGGAGCCTAGGCTTACTATTAATACGATTGGTGTTTTTGTTTTTTTTTTGTAATATTTTCAATGCTGCATAATTTTATACAATTTATATTTGATTATTTTTATTTTTTCAAATTATGTCTGCGTATAAACAAACTAAAATGCCAATTAATAAGCTAAGTAATTTGTAACAGGTTTAGAGAGAGGTACGAGCAGAATATGTGTGAGAGAGAGTGAGAGAGAGTGAGATAGGATTAGTGAGTGAGTGTTTGCTTTTTGTTCGCTTCTGTACAAGGGTCGACTTTTAGGCGCCAAGGCGCGATGATGTCGAAAAAAAATTTATGAGAGAATTCATTTGAGGTTTTGGTGACATTTGGTTAAAAAATGACTTTTATGGTTTTATATATATTTGTTTAATAAAAATTAAATTTTTTTTTAAAGTTATGAATATAAAAATTAAAAAAATTAAAAATTATTATTTATTTTGCTGGCATATGTGAACCAAGTGAGAATTGTCCCGTCCACAGTTCCCAATCTGAGACTAAACTGCATATAGTTATTTCAGATTTGTAAAAAAAATATACTCAGATATACTCAAATATGAATAATATATATTAATTTACTCACTCAAATGGTATTAAGCTTTTGAATTAGCACTCTTTCTTAACACTAACTACATAACACTTTTTATTTTTTAAAATTTTTAATACCTAAAAATTTTCAATTTTCATTTTCGCACTTGTTTTGTAGAAAAAAAACATATTTATCAAAATTTTTTTTTATTTTTTTTTTGTGTATCAGGGGGGGTCAAACAACAGGCGGATGGAGGAGCACATGGATGTTGGTGGTGGAGAGAGCACGTTGCGAAAGGGGCTTATTGTGGGTGGAAACACAGGGGCAGTCAGTTATTGGAACTGTGTGTGTATGTGTGTTTACGTGTGTGGGTGGTGTGCGTGTACGTGTAGAGGTCGTTGTCAGGTTTTCTCATTAATGGAAATTTTTCAATGCGCTGTTTTTTCGTGCTTTAAATTGTTCACATGTTTATCTATATCTTTTATCCATTTCCTTGCCAATCGCTGCATATTTTTGTAGGATTTTTTTTTTGAATTTGTTGTTGCTTATATTACTTATCGCTATCGCGGCGTTTTATTCGATGTTGTAATTTCTGTTTAGTATTAACTTTTAGTAAATTAGCTCAAAATATTGTTGTAGTTGCTACTGCTGTTGTTTTGTTTAGCAAACAATTTTGTACTAAATTTGGATACTTGGTTATTTGTTGTATTAGAAACATATACTATATGTATGTATGCATTGGTATAAAACTAAAAACTTTGCTTTGCTTTGTTACACACAGTTGAGTGTATAGTTTATTGGGAGGAATTAGGAGTGGACGATGTTAAAGCTGTATAGGGTAAGGAAATGCTAGGCAGTCGAGGCGTTACACCGATAACTTTTTTATTTATGAACCTTTCAATTCATTAGGTAAAAAAAAAATTTAGTGCGTAAGATTAAACTAAGTATTATACTACACTACAAAAATTACCGTAAAATAAAAGCTCGTTACGTAACTGTGTGTTAGCTGAGATTGGATAGATGAAAAGCTCAGAGATTTTCTATTTAGAACATATTAAGAATTTTGATTTGTGCATCCGAAAACTTTTAGAATTAACTGTCAGTGAAAAAAAGCTCTGCAAGTAAGCTCTTTTGTTTTCAATATTAAAAAATTAGGAAGTGTGGAATGAGTTAATGCCTTCTGCAACTTCTAAATTGGTCCATCAGCTCATGAAAGTCCTATAGATATTTAAGAAAATGCAGCTTTCGAACGTTTGTATTGGATTGCCAGAAAAAGTTTTTTCTCAGTATGTCTACATCGACAATGGAAATAGTATGGCCAGCGTGCAGAGCTTTGTGTAGACGCGCTCAGAGTAAAAGCTCTCAATTGCGGGTCTACATCAATAATGAACAAATAGAGCTGCTATGCTGTGCACGTCTAAACAAAATATAAAGAAAATTCAAAAAAGGTTAACAAACAGGCAGAAACAATGCTGTAAAATTCGAGAGCAAGTATAATTTTGGCTAGAGCTTTGAAAGCTTTAGACGCTTGTTTAGTTTGAGCTTTGAAAAAAGGTGACATATTAAAAAAAAAAATCGCTTTCAAAATATTTAGTAAAGGGAAAAGTGTTCTCGTATGCATAAATGCTTTGAATGGGATTCGAGCATTAAAAAGCCCTTGAAAAAGTAGATATGGTGAGACTAACTTGTCAATACTAACACTCGCAATAGGGGTAAATCATTGTTAAAAATGACATTTAGCATTTTAAAGCAAACATAATCGCGCTTTTCTGCCACAAAAAAAAAACTTTTCGTAAGTAAATAATAATTTTTTGCAGGAAATAATATTGGGAGTCTGTATTGTCTATTAAGTAAGAAGAAGCTCTTCAAAAAATGATATCGGGAGGACGCAGCAAGCTTCAAACTGCTTTTCTGCACCTAAAAGCTTTTCATAAAAACTTTTTGTTCGAAAAACAGTTAAGTACAATTTGCTAATAAGTTAAAATATTGCATAAACTTTATTTCGGCAGCCTTTAGTAAGATAATAATTAATATATAATTTGCGGAAAATTATTAAAAAGCTCTTCATAGACTTTTTTTTATAGGAAAGACCAAATCAGTTTTGAAGTTTGAAAAGCAGCCGGAAAAGTGCTTTTCGGCAGCTCACATTAAGTAACTTTAGTGCCACTGAAAAGCTTTCATAAAATTTCTTAGGAAAAAAGCTCACTTGAAAGGACAATTAACTGCCTATTCGTCGCATTGCCTTTTACAATAGGGATTATACCAAATTGGAACATTTAAAGAGCTTGCATAGTTGCTGAAAGCTTTTCTAAAGATTTCATGTCAAATGAAAGCCCTTGATAAATAATACTACATTAAACAAAAGTGCCGTTTTCTTAAGTAGGGCTTAAAACCTACTTGAGAAAACGGGCCCAAGTACACTAGAAAGCATTTATTATTTATTTTAAAAAAGCTTTCGATGGCATTTAAATTATTTAACAAAAGCTTAATTATTTTTGCTACTAAAAGCTTTAAGCTCAAAAAAGTTTTAATATGTAAAAATAAGGCGAGCGTCAAATTTACTCTACAATTTTAGGTTTTAAAAAACTTCAATAAAGTAGCATAACACTTAACGTGTCTTTGATTGCTGCATTTTGGTAGCGTGCAATGAGAAAAAATGTCAGTTCAGTTAACGTAACCAAACGATTTTCTCAGTGTAACAAAGTTCTTTTTTTCTACGAGATGAATAAGTATCGAGGCATTTAACCTAGAATACGGTGTACTGCATCATGACTTGTTTTGGATAAGGATGATGGTTTTAGGATAAATAATAAGGGATATATTCATATGTGTGTGTATGGAAATGTAGCAGGATATGTGTGTATGTTTTTGGTGAGTTACTGACTTTTATTGCGTAACGTTAAACGAAGATATTTGTATAAGGATGTAGCCATTATTCTACTACTTAGATGCCTATATTTATTTTCTTAAAACAACAATGAAAGCAGATGTAAAAAACTTAAAAAAATTGTTTGTTTCTGGTTGGCGTTGTTAAATATATGTAGTTTGGTACGAATATGTGAATGGTAGATATACATATTTATGTATGTAGGCTTGTAAGTAGAATGTAATTAATAAATTTAATTAATGTGTTACATGTCTGTAGGCACAGATTGGGAGACCGCGATAGCGACAGCGACATTCCACGAATTTCCATATGCGTATTTTTCTAATTTTGGTTTTCGAAATTTTATTTTTCAAGCATTTCGTATTGATTATTTATATATGTAACATCACACTTGAAATATAAGCTATGCGAATATATTTCTTTGTACGAATAGTTTAAATGCACTCTTTAAGGGGATTTGCTAAGAAAAAAGGCTGATAAGAATAATTCAAAAATAAAAAGTTCAATAAAATACAAAACAAAAGTTAAAATGAAAAATAAATAAAAATTAAATTAAATAATAAATGGTCCTAAACTGAGCAAATAAAAATTAAAATATTATAAATGTGCTTAAAAATACTTAGGTTTTCTTGCGAAAATATTTTTTCGCGCCAGTCTTTTTTTCCAGTCTTACTTTGTAATACTTCTTTTACTTTCCTGCGATTTGCTCTCTTATTGAAGATTATTTTTTCTTTATTTCCTTCTTTCCTTTGGGATACTAAACACAATGCGTGTGAATATTGTTTTGTATATGCTTGTATGTATTTGAGTGTGTGTGTGTGTCTGTGTGAAACGTTAAAAATGTCTAAAAAAACCCAGTAACTAAATTTGTATTAAAATCAAAATAATTTTGGTTTTTATTATATTTTGTATTTACACACACTACACTGTGAGAAATATTTGCTTAAAAACAACTGTTAACCGCAAATATGTGATTACTTTTGCTGTGTCCAAGGTTAAATTGGTAACATCTTATTAAAATTTCGATAAATAAATTAGATTTTTAATTAAAATTGTTGCATTTTAATTGATTAATTGTATTATTTAATTTTAACAAAATTTGTTAAACTAGTAAAAAAAACATTTCAAATTTGGGGTTAATTTCTTGCAATTAATTTTTTAAATTTAAAATTTATTTATTTTTTGGTTTTTTAAATTGCATAAAAACATATATCTCAAGTCAAACAATTGTTACTCACAAGATTAATAATATTTAAGATTTAATTGTATACGCTATTGGTGGTATTAGACTAGACGTGGTCTTAGCAAATGCTCATTTAGCACCAAAACAAAACCAAGAAAAAAAACGAACTAAGAGAGGCTAAACTAAAAATTCTGCAAGTAAAAAAAAAATCTACTAAACTCACTAAGTATGCTAAAAATTTTTGGCTATAGAGTAATTCATTGTTTAGACCACCTAAGGGGTACATAAAATAAGCGTAAAATTTTGGTACTTACCGTGCCGACAGACATAGTCGACGCCTTTGCGTACGCATTCGCCTGTAATGCAACCCTGAGTGCGGCAGTCTTCTTGTGGCGGTGTTAGGTAACCTAGTAGTGGGTGGATGTCAAAAATCAGTTGATTAATGAGAAGCGGGAGAATTAAATATTTATAAAAAATCTTAAACATAATATACATACATATTTCTTAATATTAATCTCAATTTCAATCTTAATCTGAATCTAAATCTCGATCTTAATCTTATTATTAATTCTTATATTAATGTTAATCATAATATTAATCTTAATCTTAATATTTATCTTAATCTTAATATTCATTTTATTCTTAACCTAAGTCATCATTTTGACCTTAATCTTAATACTAATTCCAGTCAAAATCTTTGCTTTAATCTCAATCTCAATCTTAATCTTAAATTTAATCTTAATCTTAATCTTAATTTTATTCGTAATCTCATTCTCAATCTTAATCTCAAACTCAATCTTAATCTTAATCCAAATCTAAATCTTAATCTAAATCTAAATCTTAATTTAAATCTTAATCTAACTCTAGATCTGAATCTTAATCTTAACCTAATATTTTTTTATTTTAGTCTAAATCTTGGCCTGCATCTTTATCTTAATCCAAATCTTTATTTTAATTTCAATCACAATCCCATCTCAATAATATTCTTAATCTCGATCCTAAAGCCAAGCAATCTTAGTCTTAATAACAATCGCAGACTCAATATCAATCTCGCTCTTAATCTTAAGGTTATTCTTTATATTCATTTTAATTTTAATTTCAATATCTTGATCTTAACGTTAATATTAATGTTTCTCTACCCCCACATTAGCTTAGGCCGTCTAATTTCCTCTACCCTATTCACCCTCATACTTACATTGCACATACGCATCGCCGTACGGGAACTCCTCGGGGCAATAGCATTGCGCTTCGTTGTGATCGAGCACGCGGCAAGCCGAATTCTGCCCGCATGGTTGTTCGGCGCATGCATTCACCAGATGTCCTTCGCAGACGCATCCCTTGTGCGCATCACCCATACAACCGTCCAGGCAGGCACACTCATAACCGCCAGGTACTTCCGTGCATTTAGAATTAGCGCCGCAGGGATGATTTGCGCAACCACCATCCAATGGACGACACTCCGTTTCGGGACTGCCAAAGTAGTCCGGTGGACATGAGCATTGTGGTTTGCGATCCACAACACGACATTGCGCATTGACACCGCACGCGCCATATTCCAAACAGGGGTTGCGACATTTACCCGCATCACAGCGCTTATTCGGTTCACAGTCGGCATCTTCCGCGCATTCGAATTGTACGCATTCCTTGCTCGGTTCACCCTCATAGCCATCGGGGCAGTAGCAAAGCATGCGATGATCGGATACGGTGCAGAGCGCATTACGCCCACAAGCTGACTTGTCTGCACAAGGATCAGCGCATTTGCCACTGAGGCAACTCTGATCAGTGGGGCAGTCGGAGTTTGTCTTGCAGCCGGCAAGACAGGTGCCGCGTTCACAGAGTTGTCCGAGTGGGCAGTTACGCCCGGCGCCACACTTTTGACGGCATTTGCCACGCGCGCACACTTGACCGCAAGCGCAGTCGTCCGAGCGTGTGCACGCGTCAGCGCAGTAGGTGTTCGTTTCATCACATTGACAGCTGGGATTGCAGCGTTGTGGCGGCTGTTGACAACCGCTAAGTCCATCGCCGAGGAATCCATTCGGACAGCTACACTGCACGCCATGGTTGACCACCAAGCAATTGGCGCATTGTCCACATTGCCCTGGCGCATCACAGGGATTTTTGCATTTTTTGTTGATGCAAGCCTCATCGCTGGGGCAGGTGAGATCGTTGCGACAGCCGATTTGGCAGACACGATTTTCGCAGATTTGTCCTTGCGCGCAGGCAGAGTCGGTGTTGCAAACTGTACGACAAGTGCCGCGCATGCAGCGCTCATCCGCCAAACAATTCTGATCGTTGCGACATTTTCCTTGGCAACTGCCGCCGTAGCATAGTTGAGTGCCACCGCAGTCTTCATTGTGCGTACAAGCAATGCGTGGCGTTTTGCATGACACTTCCGCATTGCCGACAAGACCCTGCGGGCATTCGCATTGCTTATGATGATCGATCACTAGACATTCAGCATTCGTGCCGCAGGCTGCTGGTTCGGCACAAGGATTTACGCACTGTTGATTGACACACGACAGTTCATGCGGGCAGCCCTGATCCGAGCGGCAACCAGCTACGCACGTCAGTCCCAAGCAAACTTCGCTGTTGCGGCAGTCATCATCACGTCGACAGAGTGGTTTACACACGCCACCTTGGCAGCGTTCATTCGAAAGGCAACCAGCATTATCGGCGCACAACGGACGGCAGGCAAACTCAAAGCAAGCCAAACCATTTGCACAATCGCGGTTTTCATTACAGCCCAGAGGCGGACTGCGCACGCAACCGACCTGTGGTGTAGGACTCGGTACCATGCCATCAAGGCAGCTGCAAATGGCGCGATGATTAGACACCGAGCAAGCGGCATTCGGGCCGCAAGGATTCTCCAGGCAGGGGTTGGTGCACTTGTCTTTTCGACAGGATTCAGAAGCGCTACAATCGTCATCGGTACGACAGCCATATACGCACTTGTTGTGCAAGCAAACATGTCCGAGGAAGCAGTCGTTGTCCACGCGACATGTCACTAAAACACGAAAAAGTAGTGGGAAATAAGTTTTTGAATTAGAAAACAAAGATTTTCAAGAATAAATACTCACGCATACAGCTACCGCGTAGACACTTTTCATTCAATGCACAATCCTGATCGTTTTGACAAGCCGGTTGACACATTGAGTCGTGGCAGTTGTAGCCATCATGGCATTCCGCATCGCTAGCACAGGCCACGGGTATGCGTACACATTCGACATCTGGGTTACCGGTGAAACCGGCTGGGCAAGAGCATTGCTTGTAATGTGTTTGTATGTGACATTCGGCATTCATGCCACAAGCTTGTGCCTGCAGGCAGGGATTGATACATTGGCCACCTTGACATACCTCCGATGAGCCGCATTCGGTGTCGAGTATGCAGGCAGCTGGAAAATGTTAGAGAGTAGGTTAGTGGTGCTTCATTTAAGATTCATTTAGTATATCGTCTTGTAGCTTTTGTCTGCAGTTGTGTATGTTGTGTAGGTTGTCTGTATTTTTTACGCTGTCCGATTTGTTAACCTAACTTGTTCAAATGTGACTCCTGTGCCTGACTTTTCTGCTTTTTTAGTAAATCCTGAAGACCTTCGAACTAAACCTATTATTATTTTACCAATGCTCGGATACAGAGACAACGGTAGAGGGGTTCTTACAATTGACTAAGCCTGAACTGATTCTTTTCGTCTCAAAGTAAATCAAAGTGGGAGGCTAATATTAAGGCAAGGACCCTTAAAATCAAAATGACTACATAATTAGTTCTTGCAGTTCTGTTGGAAACATAGGTACATACGCAACTCGAATGGATCGAAGCTTGTTGGTAAAGCATGTGTTTGATCGCCTAATCCTTTGCCTGCCTATCCCTGATATGATTTCTGGAAATTCCTTTGCTTTACTGAATACCAGATGGCTATCAAATCTATAGTAAAAATTTACGAAACTATCCAAGAAGTTCCGCTGATCTTTTTTGCATGGACAGTATCTAACAACCAAGTCAGGTCATTGATAAAAGGGCAAACGTTCTCTAAAGTTCTTATTCGAATCGACGTTATTAACTCCTGGTATACAGGAATACACTAAGTCAGCAAACCTGATATGCGCGAGCGGTAAAAGAGCAGGCTGATGAAATTGTAGAGAAAGATGGGAAGCATCTCGAAGCAGACTCTTTAGATGCAGAGCCGTGCTCTAGTTTCTGTTGATAGCTGTGTATTTCCTAGGAAGTATTTATTTACGCATTAAGGCAAAGCTAACTACCAGACACAGCTTTTCAACTGAGCTCATTTTTCAAAGGCCCTGAGGATACTCTAAAAGCAGTAAAATGCTCCAAGTGTGTTGATTTTTTTGTGCGGTGGGTTCATTGACAAAGGTTATTGGATTCCGTTACTTATTACTAAACTAAGTAAGTTCAGCGAGTAGACAGTTGAGAACTGCATACAGCTAAAACTTTTTTTCTTTACCTACGAAAGGTTTAGAAGTTGTGAGTTATTCATTTCATAGTTTAAGGCACTTTTTGTTAAAGGATGGAGGAACTATGAGAAGTGCATAAGTCGCTTACACAGCTTGCAAGGATAGGCTTTTAATAGCGTCTTTCATTCTAATTAAGCTTACATACCGCACGCTTTGCGGCAGAGCTGTCGTGGATAAAAGGGGAAGCGCTGTTTACCATATAGCGTAAGGTTAGAAGGGTCAGCCAACAAAGTGGTGTTCCCTCACCTCTCCTTTGATTTGTGATCGTAAAAGTCCGATTAGAGGAGAAGATTAGTAAAGGTGAATTTGGATGTATTGAACCAAACATTACATGGTTTGGACATTGCCGCCGACACTTCGTTCTTGCCAAACAGCATCTTTCACTTTAGCTTAGCAGTTACCGCTAGTTGTGCGGCCTAACTTAGAATAGGAGGATATAAGTCAACGCTTTTGCCACCTCTCAGTGCTTGATTGGACAACAGGTAACCTGGTACGATCGGTAATGATCGGAATGTGGAGGAAAATCAAACAATTTACACCTTTACCCAGATTATTAGATGCAGAGTTCAAGCCGTGGATAGACAGTTCATTCTGAAAACTTGAACGGAAGATAGTCGCAGCATCGATAAGTTTTGAGTGAATATTTGTATGAGCACGTTTGTATAAAATAGACCTTCCGCGGTACCATAAACGCCATTTTGATTTTGGGGGCCCTACTAAGGTAAATCAAGCCCACACGTCTAAGTGGGATAAAATGGTTGTGTATTAATATAGTTTATAAAGCCTTTCAAGTCTCTAACAATACTCAATCTTTTTCGAGAAGTTGTAAGCCTCTGTATGCAGAAAAGCAGCTTAAAACTTAATAATCGCCATAGCTTAGCTTATTGTGGTCTCAAAATAATTTCCTGAGTAGTCTTTTTGGCTTAACCGAATGCGTACGTTTAGATATTTACGTTTCTTCGTTAAGTATTTATATTCCAACAGGGAGTTATACTAGATTTGGTTATATTAAATACGCCCTGCATATTTAAACATAAAATATGTAGGTATTACGCGTACCCAAGTGCGTGGAATTTATTTGTAAGTAGGGTAGTATGTAGTGTAGCATTTAACTACAAAGTTAGCTCACTAAGGGGTTACGCTAAGGGTTTATTAAATATTTTCAAATTCTAAACCGTTCCGGAATTAGCGTTCGTTATTAATTTTGTGTGTTTTGCTTTGGATCGTTGGTTTTGTTAGTACTTACGTTTACAAATACTATCCGAACAGTAGGTATTTGTCGAGCAGTCGCTGGTCATTTGACATGGTACGGGTAGTGGCTTACAACCGGTAACCCGATCAGCGGGATTACCATCGTAGCCATTACGGCATGCACAATGAGCTTGATGACCTTTGGGTATGCATTCGGCATTCGTGCCACACTTAACATTCGCACAAACATCTTGACACTTGGTTATACCGTTAATTTTCGTGCATTCAGCATGCGGGGGACAATCATCGCTAGTTTCACACTCCACCGCGGTGCGACAACCTTCATTGTAGGGATCACCAACCAAACCGGGAGGACAGGTACATTTGAAAGAGCCACGCGAATTGCGGCAACGTGCACCTGGACCGCACGGCGCATCCTTACAAAAGTCGATAACGTCACAACGCACACGCGGATCACCGGTATAGCCCGGTTGACAATGGCATATTTGTTTGTGATTTTCTGTAGTGCAGAGTGCATTATCGCCACATGGATCGCCAATGAGACAAGCTATCTTGCACATGTGATCGTCGCAGGTCTTGTCGTGCGAACACTCCGCGTCTGTGTTACATTCAATTTTGCGGCAACCGCTCTTTGGATCGCCGAAGAAGCCTTCCTTACATTCACAATCGGGCGCGTGGCTGCGCGCAATACACTCGGCGTTGCGTCCACAAATGGCGCGTCCTAGACATACATTCTCGCACGAAGCGCGACCATAGTTATCCTGTATGCAATTTTCGTTCACATCGCAGTCATCGTCGTTGCGGCAGAGCACCTCTTTGGTGCAAATATTGTTGAGACAGTACTGGAATTCGGGGCAGGATGAATTTGTGCGGCATGTGGGTTGACACACGCCTTGTATGCATAGCTGATCGGAGATACAATCGCGCACGGAAGAGCAAAGCGTAGCGCATATGCCATTGGTGCAAATTGTACCCGAGGCGCATTGGCTGTCTGTGTTGCAGTATTGTAGCGCTACGCAGCCGAGTTGTGCATCACCGGTTGTGCCAGTTTCGCAAGTACACACGCCTATGTGATTCTGTGCGGTACAACGTGCATTTGCACCACAAACATTCGGTAGCGTACATGGGTCCACACATTTCGATTCCAAGCAAGCCTTCTCATTGGCGCAGTCCTCATTGTCGGAGCACTCGATATAGACACATTCGACGGATGGATCACCGCGCGCATTAGATGGACAAGTGCAGATGGCATTGTGTGATTGCGCCGAGCAGGTAGCATTACGACCGCAGGCATTCTCGCGCTCACAAGGACTGCGACAGCGCGAATTTTGACAGCTTGCGCTGGAAGGACAGTCCGAGTCGGTGAGACATTCGTTGGGGTCACGGCAACCCACATTGATTGGATCGCCTATGAGTCCTTCACGACATAGACACTGGTAGCTGCCGGGATGATTTTGGCACATGGCGGTGCTGTGGCAAGGTTTTGACAGACATTCGTCAATATCCTCGCACTCACCGTTGACGAGCTGATAGCCCTCATAGCAGGAACAAAGCGCTTCGTGATTGGCTACATTACAGGTGCCTTTACCGCAAGATATTAGATCGCAGGGTTTGATGCAACGATTGGTTTCACTATCGCATGCCTTGTCACTAGCGCAGTCTTCGTTGACGATGCATTCGACTTTGAAGCAGCCGACCGTATGTTCGCTTGGGTCGCCCAAATGACCGGGTGGGCAGTCACAAGCAGCCTGATGATTTTCAGCAATACACAGCGCATGCGGTCCGCAGGTGGTATTCGTGCAGGGTTCCGTACATTTGTCGTTAACGCAGGATAGATTGTTTGCGCAATCCTCATCCCTGTAGCATTCTTTGGGAGCGATGCAGCCTTGTTGAGAGAGCCCATCGCCTACTGTACCTTCGGGGCATATGCAACGGTAAGAGCCGGGTATGTTCTCGCAGCGCGCTGTTGGATGGCAAGGTTCCTCTGTGCATTCGTCAATGTCAGAGCAGCCAAAAGGCGTGCCAATGAAACCGGACGCGCACTTACACTTGCCGCTCAGGCAAAGCTCAGTCGGCGGACAATCGGCATCGGAGTCGCAGCCCGGCTGGCAGGTGCCGTCATTGTTGCAAATTTCGCCTGGCAGGCAGTTGTTGCTGGTGTAACAAACCTTGCGGCAGACATTCTGGTAACAGCGTTCGCCAATAGCACAAACTGAGTTCTTCTGACACGGCAGGTTGCACTGATTTCCAATGCACATATGACCGTTGGGACACTGATTGGTGGCTAAGCAAGGTGCTGGTACGCGAACGCAACCTTGATCGGCTGTTGGGTTGCCTTCGAAGCCTTCTGGGCACGTGCACTGACTGAGATGTTTGTCGATGCTGCATAGCGCATTTGGACCGCAGATGCCGCCCGTCTTGCAAGGGTCTTCGCATTTGTTGTTGATACAGGATTGATCGGCGGAGCAGTCTTTATTACTACGGCAGCCAATAACGCAAAGGCCTTCCAAACAAGCCAAACCCGATGTGCATTGGCTGTGGTCCAAGCAAGGAATTACACAAATATTGTTTAAGCATTTTTCTCCTGTCGAACAGTCGTCCGCATTGCGACATGCCACGCGGCATTGACCGTTGTAACAGATTTCACCGCCGCAGTCGATGTCAGACCGACATCTTGAAACTGAGCGCACGCATCCCTCTTTAGGCGACTCGCCGCTCTGTTGGAATTTCAGTGGACAGCTACAAACAGGCTTACGGTTAACAACCTTACATTCGGCGTTTTGACCGCAGGCGTTATCGCAAGGATCAATGCAGCGGCCACCAGCGCATATGGTATTCACTGGACAATCGACATCGCCATTGGGACATTGACTATCGGGACGGCAGCCTGTGGTTTCCGGATCGCCAATAAAGTTTTCGGGGCAGCGACATATTGGGCCAGACGGTGTTACCTCGCAAATGGCCGAATGATGGCAAGTACCCGCAAGACAGCCACTTATTTTGGTGCACTCCACCTCTGGCATGGGATTTCCTTTGAAGCCTGGTGGGCATTGGCACACAGCGCGATGATCTTCAGCAATGCAAATAGCATTCTCGCCACAGGACTCCTCGTCACAAACATCGTAGCAAGTGTGTGTCATGCGGTTGCACATTTTCGTTGGCGGACAGTCGTGATTGTAGACACAAGGCACACTCTGACACCCATTGAAGGGGTCATTTGGATCGCCTGCATATGGGCCAGGTGGACACTGACATTGAGCGAGGTGATTGTTGGTGATACAAACCGCACGGGGTCCGCACTTGACGCTTTCACAAGCCGGACGGCAAGTGAGACTTTCGCTAGGTCCATATTTAATACAAGCTTCCGATTCAGCGCACTCAGCATTGGTGCGACATTGATTTTTGACCACCGGCTGGCAGCCATTGCGATCATTCGGATTACCGACAAAGCCGGAAAGACAGTCACAGCGTCCTTGATGATTGCGCGCCACACAGACGGAATTTGCCGGGCAGGTGAACTCGTCGCAGAGAGAAACACATTTAAGCACACCTACCACATCTGGTCGACAGGCGGCAGCCGTTGGACAGTCCTTATCGCTGGTGCAGTCTGGCAGTGTGGGCTTCTCGCACGATGAAGTAACCGGATTCCAAACAAAACTGTCTGCGCAATTGCACAGCGCATGTCCATTCGCATCGATGTTGCATACCTCATTCGTACCACAAACAACTTTCGTGCATCGATTGATGCATTCTCTTGTACCCTGCATATCGGGTGCGCATGAAAATCCAGCCTCACAGTCATTATCTGTTTTGCATTTATCTTCAATATCCGGCACCTTTCGTTCTGGTTGACAACCGACCTGCAAGTTGCTGGGATTGCCGAAGTAGCCATCAGTGCATATGCAAGAAGATCGATGATCGTTTGATACACAAAGCGCATTGGGGCCACACTGTATCTTTGAGCAAGCATCGACGCACTTACGCAAACCTTTGCCCAGTTGAAAACAAATTTCGGAGTGCTTACAGTCCCCGTCGTTGTTGCATTGACCACGAATGGTGCAACCAGTGTTGGTGTCATGCGGGTCGCCGATGTACCCGAGTGGACAGATACACTTACCGCCATCGCAGACGGCCCTGGGACCGCAGGCAGTTTTGGAGCACAGATTTTTACATCTTCCAGTCTCGCAAGTAAAGCCGTCGGGGCATTCCACACGCGCGCTGCACTCACACCGCTCAGCATCGCTACAGAAAACACTATCTACTGGCTGACAGCTGCTGAACGGATCACCGGCGAAGCCAGATAAGCAGAGACATTCAAAACCTCCGTTTGAGTTGAGGCAAGCAGCATTTAGGCCGCACGGTTTGTTCACGCACTCATCCACATCCTGGCAACCCACGTATGCATTACCGGTGAAGCCTTGCGGGCAGATGCAACTAATTTGTTGGCCATCAGCGCGGCACTCAGCATTAGGTCCACAGCTATTGGGTGCGCAGATATTTTTGCTTTGTGGTCCGCAACCTTCATATGGATTGCCAGTTGTGCCAGGATTGCAAGCGCATACGCTGTTGCCGAAACCATATTCACAATGCGCATTCTCGCCACACTTTGGCTCACATTCGGCATTTTTAACAGGTGGCACACACACGAGATCTGGATTGCCAATGAAGTTGGGTTCGCAAACACATTTTCCACTACTCTTGTCGCAGGTGGCGCCAGTGCCACATACCACGCCGTCGCAACGCTCTTTACAGCGGCCATTGATACAAACTTGTCGCCCAGCGCAAGGTCGTGATGCGCTACATTGATCCGTTGTACAGGAACCGCCAGGGAATGGATTACCGAAGTAACCTTGTGGACACTTGCAAGTAGGACCGTCCGAAGTTGGTATGCAGAGCGCGCTTCCGCCGCAAATGATATCCTTACATTGAGAGACACAGTCGCCGTTCGGATCTTTGCTATAACCAACGCGGCAACGACACCAGCCTGCATGGTTTTCTGTCTCGCAGAATGCGTTGGGGCCGCACAGTAGACTGGAGCACGGCGACACGCAAGTACCCTCCACGCAGGCCAGATTGCTAGCGCAATCTTCGTTGCTTGTGCAGGTGCTCTTGGGCACGCCGGTCTCCAGTATACAACCGCTTTTGTATGGATCACCAGTAAAACCTTTCGGGCAGACACATTGATAGCCACCCTTCTTATTAACACAATAAGCGCCGTAAGCGCAAGGCAAATGAGCACACTCATCCTCGTCCGTACAGCCCATAAGCGGATCTCCTTTGAAACCAGGTTCGCACATACACTGTGGTGGGTCTGTTGGTGTACACTTCGCGTTAATGCCACAAGGAAATCGTTCACAAGGACTTTTGCATTTGTTATTATCGTAGGGATCCAGGAAGAAAGGTGGTGGGCAAACACATTCGCCAGGTTGCACACATTTCTCGTTCGTGCCACATTCCTTATCGGCGGCACACTTACGTTGCGCTGGCGCACACAGTCCGTGATATGGATCGCCGTTGTACCCATCCGGGCAGGCGCAGGTAAAGCCACCAGGGATGTTGATACACTCAGCCCCAAAAGCGCATACTTGCGCGTCGCGTTCAACGCACTCATCCACGTCGATGCAAGAGCCATCCGGGCCTGTTTTGTAGCCTTTCGGGCAAGCGCAGTAGCTGACGCCGCCAGCAATGGAAATACACTCCGCACCACCTGGACATTTCTTATCTGTCGAGCAATCCGCGAGTATGCAGCTGTTGCCCACCAATTTGTAAGGTGGTTGGCATTGACATTCCGGTGATTTGCATTGCTCGCACATGACGAACGGGTTGCCGCTAAAGCCTTGTGGGCACTTACATTCGTAACTGCCCGGTAAGTTCTTGCAAAGCGCGTTGAGACCGCAAGCTGCTTTCTGCCGACTCGGTGAGCACTCATCCACATCTTGACACTGTCCCGTCTCCGCATTGCGTTCGTAACCTTGTCGACAAATGCAAACACCATTGCCAGTGTATGAATCTGTGACGCAAGTTTCACCTGGTGAGCAGGGATTTGAGTCGGAGCAGGTGAAAGCGACTTTGCCAGCGGTGCAACCTTCTCGATAGGGATCGCCGCTTGTGCCGCTCGGGCACTGGCACAGATAGCCGCCGGGTGTATTCGTACAGATGGCATTCGCCTGACATGGGTTCGCCTTGCATTCGTCGATATCATTACAGCCGCCAGGCGTGTTCGGGCTACCCGTGTAACCCTCGACACACAAGCACTGCGCTTGTCCATTAGCCAACATGCATTGCGCATGCGAGCCACAATTAACCGCTTCGCAGGGATGACGACAATCATTGCCGATATTTGGCTGTGGGCAGAGGCAACGTTTTTCCGCATCACATATTGCATTGCCTGGACAATCTTTGTCTACGGCGCATGTAACAATCGGCACGCAACGTACCGTGGGATCTGGATCAGCAATTGAATCCGCTGGACAGCGACAGGTATAACCGCCATTCATATTAACACATTCCGCGCCTTCGCCGCACTTGCTGCCCACGCGACATTCATCCACGTCCACACATTTGGCGTGCGGATCGCCAGAGAAGCCCGATGGGCACGTGCAGCTAAAGCTGCCTAACGTATTCGTGCATGTTGCATTTACGCCACAACTGCCGTAGGGACCATGTACCGTATCACATTCGTCGATGTCTATGCAACCAGCTGAAATGTCACTTGGATTGAACGTCCAACCATCTTCGCAGATGCAGTAAGCTTCATTGCCATCTGGCTTGCAGTAAGCATGCTCGCCACAATGTACATCCTCACAGGGTTCCTTGCAGCCGATGCGTGGGGGTGTGCCCACAAAGCCAGCTTCACAATCGCAACGGAACGAACCAGGTGTATTTATGCATTGCGCATGCGCTCCACAGGCGTCCGCATGCGTGCGACACTCATCGATGTCGACACAACTGGAGCCGATCGGTTCGAAGCCATCCAAACAGAAACATTGATTTTCGATACATTCCGCATTGTTGGTGCAATCAAAACTGCTGCGACAGAGGATATTCACATCGACTTGCTCACAAGCGACCTTCGGATCGGGTTTTCCATCGAAGCCTTGCGGACACTTGCAGTTGTAACCGGGTGCGGCATTCTCGCAGATGGCATAAGTACCGCAGGGTTTTTCCAATGCGGTGCACTCATCGATGTCGGTGCAGCCGCGGAAGGGATCGCCGGTGTAGTCGGATTTGCAGGTGCAGACAAAGCTGCCGACGGTGTCGGTGCATATCGCGTTCTCGCCACAAGGATTGTCCTGACACTCGTTGATGTCTAAGGAGGTGCGCGCATAAAAAGAGTGCGACGTGTAACATTTGATATGGTGACGTTGCCGAAACGTGCGGTGAAGTGCGTAGTTTTGTACGTTGATTCGGTTTGGTTTGGTTGGTTGGTTTGATGGATTGGAGTTTAAGGTAGTTGGATTTAATGCATTTGTTGCAGTTGCAGTGATGGTGGTGGTGGTTGTGGAGGTTCGTGGTTGATGGTATTGGGAGAAGGTTGTTAATTAGTTAAAAATTAAACAAAAAAACAAAAATACTTGGTTACAATGTAATCATGATTGGAATGAATTTGATGGAGAAATGTTTACGGAGATGTGTAGGAATAGCGTGAAAATAGGCAGTAGGAGGAACGAAGATCAGAACGAAAGTATAAGGGAAGATTTTTAAAAGCTTTTAAAAGCTTCAAGTGTATTTATAAGTATAAGTAAAGCAATTTATGGAAAAGTAAGCAAATAAGTGAAATCAGGAAAGCTTAGAAAGCAAGCGCTCATTTGCAGCTTATATTAGAAAGCTTTCTGAGCTTTTTGAAATGTGTAGTAGTATTAAGTTCAATTGAGATAGCAATTAAAATGCGTTCATTCAAAGCTTCGATAAGTATGTGCATCTTGTTGAGAGTATTCAAAAGTTTGGAAGTGTTGATAATTTTAAGGCATCCCCAGCAAACATTTTTAGAAAGCTTATAGCTTTCAATCCAAAAGTACAGGCTTTAATTTTCAATTTTTGAAATAAGCACATACTCCGGAGTGCTTCTGTTTATAACAAGTATATTTCTTTTGAAGCTAATAGATATTTTTTGTGCTTTCACTAACGAAAACTTTCACGAGTGATTTTATTTTACAAAATTATTCATGTTCATTATTAATTGGGTGAAATTATTACATGTGAGTAAAAAAGCTCGGAAACTTTAGAAAGCTTCCTCTGCGAGATCTGATTTTTTGCAGCCAATTTAAATCTTCGAAGATAAGTGGCAGCTTTTACTCTATGCGTGCTTATATAAAAGCTTTAAAAAGCTTCCTTCGCCTGATATAAATCGGAGACAATCAGAAAGAACTTTTTCTCTTTAGCTTTGGTTTTAGTCGCGACTGATATATATCATAATCATTTATATCATCATATATCGATGATAAAAGAAAGCATTTTGCTTTTAGTGCCCCGTATCATTTATAGGTAAGTTTTGAAGCTCTATAAATTAAGTATAGTTGCGCGTAGTTGCTCTATGATGGACTCATAAAAAGCTATCGTAACCTTAGAAAAGCTTTTTCAAACGGATTCGTTTTAGTCGCGATTGATACATGTAGTTCAAAAAATAACCGAGAGAAAGCTTCTGCGATGTGCATGCCCATATGTAGAAACCATTACAAAGCTTTTTTCCTCGTGATACCTTTTAATTAGGAGTGACATAAATATAAAGAGCTTTCGCTCATTGAAAAATTACAGACTTTTACTCTAACAAAGAGTTGAGTTTTCAAGCTTTCATGTAAGCTTTATGTCCAATTATATGTTTTCTTTGTTGATGTGTTTCCTTTTTTACATGAGGTAAGATCAAATCTTTGAAAGCTTAAAAGGCCTCATTAAAATTTTATACATTCGTTTTTAGTCTGCTTGGAGTTTTAATTTTGGACATCACTATAAACGCCTACTTATTTCTATTATTTTGTGTACATATTTTCTTTGAAAGCTGCTTTCGTTTGCTGGGTACCGAGTGTTTGAAAGTTTCAAGAGCGTTGGAAGTGTAAGAAAGCATTTATGTATTGTTTGGGTGAAAGCATATGATGAGATTACTGAAAAGCTTGCAAGCTTCCGAACAAAAGCTTATCGAAAAGTTTTTTAACAAAAGTTTCTTAAAAAGATTTTTTACAAAAGCTTCTTAAAAAGCTTTCTAACAAAAGTTTCTTAAAAAGCTTTTTTACAAAAGCTTCTTTAAAAAGCTTTCTAACAAAAGTTTCTTTTAAAGCTTTTTGATAAAAGCTTCATAAAAAGCTTCCTGGTAGGGAATATTATCTAAGCACACGAAAACTAAAATTTTTATTTTCTAACTGAGGTACGAGCTTGCATTAGATTTCGAAAACTTGCATATTAAACGAAATAACTTTTAAGCTGAAAGCTTGTAAATACATACATGCATAAAGCCTCAATCGTAGCGCAAAACTTTGAATTCTCTGGAAAGCCTTAAGCTTTAATACGATTATGTACCTAAATATGTAAAAGCTTGCAAGCTTTTTCCAAGTAAATGCAGAAATGCTTACTACAACTAACTAAATTACAATTAGCGATACTAACTTTCACAATGCAAGTAGCCCTGTCCCTGAAAGCCGCTCGGGCATAAGCACCGATATGAGCCCGGAAAGTTAATGCATTTAGCGTTCGTGCCACACTTGGCCACTCCATTATCCATATTACATTCGTCTATGTCGACACAGGCCAGACCGGCACCGGTCACCCTCAGCGAAGTGCCATTGCCGCCGCCATAAATTCCGCCGCCACCCAGACTATATTCCCTCTCAAACTCGAGCGTATAGCCAGGCGGACAATTGCACGCAAAACTACCGCCAATATTCACGCATTCAGCACCCAAACCGCATGGATTGTTAGTGGAACATTCGTTGACGTCTGCGAGCGGGGTATAATGACGCATGGCGAATGTTGGGTGGGTAACAGACGTCGATGATGTTGCAATGAGTACGGTACGCGATGCGTTATGATTACGTGGTTAGATTGAATTAAATATTGCCCAAATGTTTTCGTTATATGTTTGTTGTTATATGCAAAATGCGTGTTGTTGTTGTTGCAGTTGCAGTTGTTATGATATTTTTATATTAGGCATATGTGTGCAAAAAACATTTAGTATTGTGGTTTATGTGGTTTTGTGCCACCGTGATAAACGTTTAGTGTTTTTTGTTGTTTTTATTTTGTTGTATGCGCGAAAAAGTGCAATGATTAAATTGATTTTCCGTGAGGGATGAAAATAAAAGGAATATAACAAATATACTTAGTATTAAAGATCTTTAAAAAAATTAATCTCTCTTCGTATTTCCTCCTTTCTAACTCTGCACTTACCTTCACATCCTTGACTTGGATCACCCGCATAGCCATCTGGGCAAATACATTTGAAACTACCATCTGTATTCAAGCATTGCGCATTGCGGCCGCATGGCGAACGCCCGCACTCATCATAGTCCGCACAGCCGCTGGCGGAGCGCGCATCTCCGTCGTAACCCTCTGGGCAGTCGCAGCGATAACCGCCCTCGAGGTTCGTACAGATTGCGCCCGGTCCACAAACATTCGGATGTATGCACTCATCGATGTCCGTACAGCTGTAGTAGGGGTCGCCGTGATAGCCCTCGGGACACGCGCAGGTGTAGTTGCCGGGTGTATTGATGCACTGGGCACCCGTACCGCAGGCAGTGGGACTTTGGCACTCGTCGAGGTCTGTGGTGGAAAAAGAAGAGAATATAAAATAAATAATAATATATATTTTGGTATGTCGAAAGCTTAAAGTTTATAAAAAAGATGTTGATTATGTTTCGAAAATATCGATACTTATCAATAAATTTCGTGACTACTCGATTCTAATTTAAAATTCGCCAAAATTTAAGAAATTCCACAATCCTTTTTGAACTTTAAAACAAATCGATTAAAATGCTATCGAGAAGTTAAAAAAAATTAGGAATTTTTTAAATTGATTTTTTTTTTTAATTTTCGAAATTCTAAAAAACGATCGATTTTTGATCACGAAATTCCCATCATCGATCATTACACAAAAATTTATCAATAAATTTCAGGAATTCTTAACCCGTGTCTTTTTAAGATGCAAAAATTAAACGGCTGTGGTGCAAATTACATCAAAAAGTAAAAAAAAAATCGATAAATTTGAATAAGTCCAGAAACGTTTGCTTCAATAACTTAGAAATTAATCGAGCAATAAAAACAACTCTATCGATAAATTAGAAAAATATTGACAATATTATTAATTGATACGTTCACTGATTTTCGAAAAAAAAACCATCGATAAACGTTAAAACTGTAAAACGAATAATTTTTAAAAATCTCTAGAAATTATACTGCTATATTAAGGAACAAAAAAAATCCAAATCTTTCCTTTATGAATTTAAAAATTAGTTGTTTAATATAGAAAAAAATATTGATTTATTTTCAAAACTAAAATATGTTTAAGTGAATTTCAACAGCATGTGATTTAATTTTAAAATTTTCAAAACTGATCAAATTTAAAAGTGCATCGATAGATATTAAAAAATTGGTCAACAGCTACTAACATTTTTGGAACGTTCTTTAAAAAATTAAAAAGTAACCATCCAATTAAAAAAATTTATCGATAAATTTTCATCTTGTTTCTTGTATTTCTAATACACATTTAAAAATTAATATATAAATTAAGTTTTAAAATTATTCGTTCAATTTTAAAAATGTATCGATAAATTTCTAAAATCGGTCACAAAACTTCAAACAAAAATCCCTATTGCTTTCAATAAAATTCGTTTACGAAATGACAGAAAGAATCTTAGAACTTTTTATAAGTACCCTATTAATTTAAAAAGTAAACAGTATTACCCGGTTGAGAATTCTAAAACTAATATTCAAGTGATGTTTCGCTATTAACGTTGTAGTTAAAAAAGTTGCCTTTGTACAGAACTTGAATTTATGAAACTTAAAAAATTATCGATTAATTTGCCAAAAATTTATTCATAAACAAAATTTAAAATTTTTTTTTAATGAATTGAAAACTTATCTTATGTTACATGAAGATTATTTATTTTTTTTATTAAAATCTTTTAGAACCCCAAATATTTATCGATGAACTTTTGTATTGAGATCGATTAATTTTTGGAATTTGAAAATTTATCGATTGTATCAAAAAAAATAATTTTCAGAGTTCTGGAAATTTTTAAGCTTTTGTATTGATTCTTTTTTAAATAAAAATATCTGGAACACAAGAAATTTTCGATAAAACTTTTAATTTTAATCGATTAATTTTAAACTTGATAAACTAAAACATTTTGGAACTTTTAAGATTTCCGTATACTGTTTAAAAAATCGATAGATTTTTGAATACACGGGGGAATTTTTTTTAGAATTTTTGAGATTTAATTTTCAGATATAAGTTTTAAAGCTCTCACATTATTCATTTTCGAAAGAAATAATAAATCCTGATAATATGTTATCGATTATCTAGTGCCGAAAAACTATTAAATCGAAAAATCCAACATTGTTTAGAAATAAAGGTTGCTTGCAAAAAAAATTTGCTAAAGTAAAAAATTATCAAAGAAATCTATATATTTTGCAATTTTCGATATTGCAGAATAAAAAAACCATCGATCAAGAACTTTTAAAATATTTGTGCCTAATGAAATTTTTGTTTACTGAAATAAAATAAAATACAACAAGCTAAATATTCTTAACAAAATACCTTTATTCTTGAAATTTCCTGAAATAATTTCAATAACATGATGATGTCACACGCATGCCATCTTTAAATTCTCGTAGAATCCCAAGCTGCTTTGTGCAAATAGCACGCAACCGCAACGAATTCTTTTCGTCAGAAAAAAATCAAAATTTTGCCTACCTACTTACCGTAAATTTTTGAATCAAATAGTAATTAATAGCCCAGCAATAGCGAACTAAGGTTTATATCGAACTTGCAATAATTTAGTAAAAAAGTTAGCAAAAAAGTTAAAATTCCATAGTTAGCTAAACCAAACACCCGGATATACATATTTCTTATATGAATCGCCGCTTACCTGTGCACAGCACTTCACCATCGCCCTCATAGCCATCTCTACATTTGCAGAGATAATGCGCTGGCAGATTACAGCACTCGGCATTCGCGACACAGCGCGCTCTTATCGTAGGATCTTGGCATTCGTCGATATCTGTGTGTGAGTAGAGAAAATGAGATGCGTTATGAAGCCGAATGGATTAGAGGATTAAAGCGTAGCATATTAATGTATGTGTGTGATGTGTGTGTGTGTGAGTATCAAAGGGATTAGACATTTAAAATTAATGCTTGAATAAATTGACGAATGGCAGGAATGTCAAGGTCAAGGCTTTTGTGGCCACTTTTTTTTTAATAGAGAAAAAATATGAAACAAAATTATATGCAATATTTTGTGACAAACGTTTTCCGGCAGCAACAGCAAATTGTACCTTATTTACGCACCATTGCAAAAACTAAAGACTTAAGCGACGAACTTGCTTCAATGGTCGTTTGACTAGTTGCTTGCTTAGCAAAGAAAGACCGCCGCCCGCCGCCCGCCGCCCGCACGCCCGCCCGCCTGCCAGTGACCTTTTTTGTGTTACGCAGTTTTCACGCATCATTGCCAGCCATCTAATGCGTGTATGCAGTGCTTTGTAGTTGCAGCAAAAAATCGGCTTTTGTAAATGTTCCGCATGCGTAGCGGCTGGCAAATGTTGTTGTTGGCCTGTCAGCGCATCATTCAATGCTGGCATTGATTATGCAAATTGAAGGTGATTGCTTAATTTATTTCTATTTGTTTTTATATTTTGTTATCTACATACATACATATATATCTATGTTTCTTTGTATGCTGATTTTTGCGCTGACATTTCATTGTCATTTTGTGGCAAGCGCGATAGTCACAGCCGTGTTGCATGCATGCTTGCATTCATGTGCATTGTTAGTGGCGTGTAAATCTATGCAAAATTATAAAGCTGCATGCAGTTCAAGGTTGAGTTGTGGCTTTTAAGTTAATTTTCAATAATTTTTATTATACTCAATATGCCATTTTTGAAGACTATTAGGGTTAATATTTAATTCGGGTTTTTTTTGTAGAAATATCAAGTCAGGGGGCTCGAGGTCAAGCTTAGTGAGCCATACTCACTTCATTTGTGACATAAATGTGCGAATACCGTTATGCAACAACCAACATATTTTTGCAAGGATCTCCCAACACAATAGCATACTTGAGCTCATAAGCGTGGCCCCCTGTGATAGTACAGTTTATGGTTATGGCGGATAATAAAAAGTTTCTTCATTCTCCTCATAAATGTCAAATCAGAACTTTTTCACAATATTCCTACATATTTCAGCCGGCCACCACTTCCTTGAAAGCGGATCAGATATTCTTTGTTAAACTTTTGTGTTATCAGCTCATCTCTGAAATGAATTGATCGTATTGTCCTAGGGACTAAGAGAAAACGCATATCCCTACTTCACATTCCATTTTGCAGCATCAGCGTACAGAAAATATGTCCCGGCGGAGGTATCAAAACCGCCATACCGGTCGACTTTCGTTGTCTATTGTGTTCTTAAAGTACGATTTCATTTGGGGCTGGAACACTCCCTTATACAATTTTCTTAACGCTTTAATTCGCAATCATTATTGTCTCCACATTTCTATGAAACTTGACTGTGAATATCCTGTTGTAACAGTTGCAAGGTAAAGGCTGCCATGTTGTCAACTACGCCTATGGCATCATCTTAAACAGAAAGCTAACCTGTCAGCGCGGTATATATGGAAGAGCGCCCTACGAAGGAAATTACCCCATATAAATATACACTTGCAAATCAACAGTAGATAAAAACTGGGTTAGAGTACCACATTGTTCAATAAAAAGGCAATTCCGACAGCTGTCAAAGACAAAAGTCTTTCGTAAGGCAATTGTCAATTCTAGCTACTAAATATCTTGCTAAATATATGCTCTTCGCATTTTGACAATACTTTTTTTCAAAAATTAAATTGAATAAAAAAAAAATATATATTTTTCTCTTAAAAAAAGAGTAAATATAAGAAAATTAATTAAAAAAGTAAAGGTAAAAATAGAGCAAAATTAGTGTTTCTAAAAATTAAATAAAATTATTAAAATGTATATTTTTCTTCAAAAACAAATTATAAAAATTAAAATTAAATTAAATTTGAAAAAAGAATAAAAATTAAAAAAGTTTATTTTTATTAAAAAAAGAATAACAAGAAAATTAGATTAAAAAAGAGCAAAAAAAGAAATAATTTTCTTAAAACCATACAATTTAAAACCAAAAAGAAAATCTAATTGAAAAAAATAAAAAATATTTTATTAAAAAATAGAAAAAAAGACGTTTGCATAATTTAAATGAACTTAGAAAGTATACATATTTTTCTTTGTAAAACTATATTCTAAAACCAAATTTAGAACATTAAAAAGTAAAAAAAATTAATTAAAAAATAGGAAAAATAAGTTTCTAAAACTTTAGTGAAATTAAAAAATAAAATTTAAAAATTAAAATTAAATTGAATTTGAAGAAAAAATTAAATACAGACAGATGAAAATAATACCCAAAACTCAAATGAAATTGAAAAAAAAGTCAAGTTATTTTTATTAAAAAAACTTAAGAAAAGGAAAAAAATTTTATTAAAAAAGACAAAAGAATACAACTAAAAGAACTAAATCCGAAAAATTAAATGAAATAAAAAAAAATTATTTCTCTTTTTAAAACAACAAAACCTAAAACCAGAAATAAAATCTAATCGAAAAATAAAAAAAATATTCCATCAAAGAAAAGAAAAGAACTGAAGACGTTTCCAAATTTTAATGGAATTAAAAAATATATAATTTTCTTTTTAAAACAATAGAATGTAAAACCAAAAATAATATTGAATAAAAAAATAAAAAAAATATTTAATTAAAAAGTAGAAAACAACAATTTATGAAATTAAAAAAGACAATAAAATTTAAAAACTATGAATATATATTTTTATATATTATATATTTTTATATATTATATATTTTTTTAGACAACAAAATTTACCCGCAAGAGCTCTCACTCAAGCTCGATTATCGGATTTTTGAAGCGTTTTTTCAAGCTGAGGTAATACTCGTAGCAATGAACGAAGCCGCACCCGCGGCTGACCGATTAGTCTTTTATGTAGACAGCCTTATTTAGCTAAGTAGTTCTACCTTTTGCTTGTACCAGTACAAAAACTATTTTTATCTTGGTCGTAAAGCTTTTAATAAATTTTACAAATTTTAAATACCCTCCCATTAAATGTTGAACTTAGGTTTTGATAATTCTTCCTATTTTATATTTATCGCAACCTGTTCTCAGCACACAGCAGACACTTGCTTTAATCATTTTCTATTTAATTAATTATTCCAATTTTTTCTTCATTTTCAGATTGAACGCGTGTGAACCTTAACACCTACGGTTATACCTTCGACTTCTAAAAATTTCGCATTTGCCACCAACAGCGATTAAACACAAATTTATGACCTCGAACGAGGTCGCTGCCGTCTAATCAAGCGCCAGTTTCTACCTAATACTTGAAGCATCAAACAAACTGAATTTACAACTGTACAAAAAAATAAGCCAAACAAAAAGAAAAAAAAAAATGCTGGTAAACGCCAATTCTATGTTTGAGTGTAAGTACGGGTAGCTAAAAATTTAAGATTCACAAAAGTAAAAAAAAAAACTAATTATGATTACAAGTGCAAGTAGCAGGTAGCAGGCAGCTACCAAGGGAAGAGCTGGTGCAAAGAAATGGGCGTTTGTCTTAAGCAAGGCAAGAAGAGGCTAAAACAAAGAAGAAGAAAAAAAGAAAAGAAGTTAGTAATAACACTAATTTGAGTTTTGGAAATTTGCGTTCGCTTCAAAGTTAATTACGGGCTGCCCACTTTATGCGCTACTTCGTTTGGTTGCTTTTTTTTACAGCCTCATTTTATTAAATTTGTTCTTAGTAAAGTATCTTTTTCGACCACAGCAAGACACTTGTTATAGGCGAAAAAAAACACTTACGTCACCACGTACCTACTCTCCAGCGTAGCTATTTGTGGGTTGCTGGTATGTAAATTTTTTCTGGCATCTTTTCATATTCTCTGAATCGCGTTTTTTTTTTCACTGACCTTGATTTGCTGCTGACACGCAGATGCTTATAATATAATTTTATTTGCTATATTCGCTGGCATTAATTCATTTTCATATGTCATGCTATACGTGCAGAACTATCTGAGTTCTGTGTATGACGAGTGGGTTACTTCTAATTTTTTTGCTCATTAGGGAGTATATGGTTTTGTTGAGCCCAGACAACTGTGCTAAGTTTTTTTACTCCTAGTTTGCTTCATTTCTTAAATCAATACGTCACAGTAGGGTGTCTGCTGTTAAGAGCCTATACGTTCCTCTTTCTCAACATTTTTACCAAAATTGTAATATCTAATTCTAGCGTTGGAGCCACGCATACGCCATTTTATATCCCAGCTAAAATAGGATTTGAAAAGTCAAGGACATTTTTTTATCCAACGAGATTATTTTTCCCAAATTCTCCAAAGCCTTAAAATCCTGCCAATGTTTTTTGACGACGAATTATCCCTGATGATGCCGCCTTCTATGTGATAAGTTGAAGTAGAAAGTCTTACAAATAATTGCAGACAGAGTCCTTTCTACAGAAAACAAATTTAAAAGTACTATCTTTAATGGGGTTTACTAGAGTTTATATAATTCTTAACTGGCAATTATTTTATGTATATTTTTTTTGCGTTCAATGTCTACCATTAAATATTTAAAGTTTCCTTTTCGATATTTTTTTAACCAAAGGCTTTATAACTTTATTATTTCAACACCCCTTTTTCTGCTTTGTCGTCTTCGGTATAAGCCTTAATTCGCCATAATTTCTCACTTCGGTAATAATAATAATAATGATTGTTGGTTAGCCTGTCATCATTAGTCGCACATTAATTAAATGAGCCGCGTAAATTTGCACTTTTTATGCTAAGCTAAAAGTTAGTGGCTAAATTTAGTACACACTATATATATACATATATACTTATTTGTATGTATGTACATATAGTATATGCCAGCACAGGCAACGAATATAAAATATATATTTTTTTATCCACATATTTATGTATTTACCTATACATATATACAAACATCAGTGGCGGA